CTACCATCAGTAACACACTACGCCGCCAGGGACTCAAATCCTGCAGTGCCAGACGTGTCCCCCTGCCTAAGGCAGTACATGTCCAGGCCCGTCTGAAGTTTGCTAGTGCATTTGGATGATCCAGAAGAGGATTGGGAGAATGTCATATGGTTAGATGAAACCAAAATAGAACTTTTTGGTAAAAACTCAACTCGTCGTGTTTGGAGGACAAAGAATGCTGAGTTGCATCCAAAGAACACCATACCTACTGTGAAGCATGGGAGTGGAAACATCATGCTTTGGGGCTGTTTTTCTGCAAAGGGACCAGGACGACTGATCCGTGTAAAGGAAAGAATGAATGGGGCCATGTATCGTGAGATTTTGAGTGAAAACCTCCTTCCATCAGCAAGGGCATTGAAGATGAAACATGGCTGGGTCTTTCAGCATGACAATGATCCCAAACACACCGCCCGGGCAACGAAGGAGTGGCTTCGTAAGAAGCATTTCAAGGTCCTGGAGTGGCCTAGCCAGTCTCCAGATCTCAACCCCATAGAAAATCTTTGGAGGGAGTTGAAAGTCTGTGTTGCCCAGTGACAGCCCCAAAACATCTCTGCTCTAGAGGAGATCTGCATGGAGGAATGCGCCAAAATACCAGCAACAGTGTGTGAAAACCTTGTGAAGACTTACAGAAAACGTTTGACCTGTGTCATTGCCAACAAAGGGTATATAACAAAGTATTGAGAAACTTTTGTTATTGACCAAATACTTATTTTCCACCATAATTTGCTAATAAATTCATTAAAAATCCTACAATGTGATTTTCTGGAATTTTTTTCCTCATTTTGTCTGTCATAGTTGACGTGTACCTATGATGAAAATTACAGGCCTCTCTCATCTTTTTAAGTGGGAGAACTTGCACAATTGGTGGCTGACTAAATACTTTTTTCCCCCACTGTATATATGCTTTTTTAATGTCAAAATATACTATTGACATCACTTGCTTGCCAACGCTTTGGTCACCTCACTACTTACTGTAACCAATTCATCAAGGGTATCCTTCCTTTTCTGATTCCACTCTGGTATGGATGGACTTAATAGACCCCTATGTTCCAGATTATACATCAGTCTACCTACAGTCAACTTTTCCATTCATTTACAGAGATTTGATGTAAGTGCAATAGGTCTATACCTAGCAGGACTTGATGGATCTTTACCAAGCTTCATAAAAGGCAACACCACAGCATGTTTCCATCCTGATGGTAACACTCCTGTCCTCCATATTTTGTTAAATAAACTCAAAATCTTTCCCAAAACTTCTGTAGGCAGATGTTTAAACATAATGTAGCATAATCGATCCTCACCTGGAGCAGTGCAACCACACCCCATCCAAAGCCCTGTCTCCTGAGTGGCGCAGTGGTCTAAGGCACTGCATCACAGTGCTAGCTATGCCACTAGAGATCCTGGTTAGAATCCAGACTCTGTCGCAGCCGGCCGTGACCGGGAGACTCATGGGCGGCGCACAATTGGCCTAGTGTCGTCCAGGGTAGGGGAGGGAATGGCCGGCAGGGATGTAGCTCAGTTGATAGAGCATGGCGTTTGCAACGCCAGGGTTGTGGGTTCGATTCCCACGGGGGACCAGTATGAAACAAATTTAAAAATAGAATATGTATTCACTAACTGTAAGTCGCTCTGGATAAGAGCGTCTGCTAAATGACTAAAATGTAAATGTATAAAATGTTCTTTCAAACATGATGAATTCAGCAGCCAGTGATTCTCCAGAATCACACATAGCGTATTACGGTATACATCTTCATGCATTCTTAGCTTTTCTTCCTTACGTCTTTTACATTCATTACCTAAGGTTTTGTCTAGAAGGGATACAGCTTTTGTCAAAAGTGACTCGTCACAGCAAGTTTAGGAGAATTTACGCAGCAGGTTAGGATAATTAACGTAGCAGGTTAGGAGAATTAGGTTAAGGTTAGGAAAGGGATTAGGGTTAGCTAAAATGCAAAATGTTTTACTTTTCACGTCAATTTGACTGAAGCTGTATCTAGACATGACCCCTCATGACAAGAGTGAGGATGAATTAAATGTTGTGGCAGGTGCAGTGATGACTGCTGAGAAGAAAATAGAGATACGTGCTCCAGTAGTTCAGAGATGGAACTTGTTGAGAGTGAGGGTGTAGTACCTGCGGTGAGGACCGCTGAGTTCGGGCCTCGTCCCAAGGATGATAAGGATGATTTTGGCCCAGTGGGAGTGAGATTTGTAGAGAGAATGGATCCTTGCTTTTTGGTTGATCCATATGTGGTGTCAGGTTGGGTGGATGAGAGGTTGGGTACTGTTGAGTTGGTGAAGGTAACTCAGAATGGACTCGTGATGATTTATTGTGTTTCCTCCGCCCAGAGGGAGAGGGCGCTCCGGATTACGAGATTAGGGACAAGAATTGTGACATGCTTTGCTCTCCGCAGCAGGGAGCTATTGAAAGGAGTGATAACAGGGGTGGCATTAAGTGTTGAGGAGGAGCAGTTGAAATGGAAGATTCCCGGTGTCTGTGACGCCCACCGTTTGGTGAGCCGTAGATCCGGTGGGGAAACGGAGAAGACATTATCTGTCATGCTGAGTTTTGATGCAGAGTAGTTACCAGATAAGGTCAAGGTAGGACGTGTCAGTTATCCCGTGAGAGTTTATGTTCCGAAAATATTACAGTGTTTTAGGTGTTAAGGTTATGGGCATTTTGCAGCAGTTTGTAGGAGGGAGATGCATAGATGTGTGCAGGAGGGCATGATATGAAGGAATGTGTGGTATCAGTGGAGAAAGTTGTGTGTGTTAGTTGTGGGGGTGATCATGGGGCTGGAGATCGGAGGTGTCTGGTGAGAGAAAGGCAGATTGAGGTTGCCAGGGTTAGAGTAGTACAAAAAGTGTCCTATGCCGAAGCAGTGAAGAGAGTGGTAGAGGAAGATGGGTACCGGGTGAGGGATCCTGAGAGGATTCATGTGAGTAGGCAGAGACCGAGAGTGATGGGAAGAATATGTGCTTCAGTAAAGTGGGATTTTTAGCATTTATAGCCATGGTTGTTAATTGTTCTGCAGAAATTGATAGAAAGTCACAGAAAATAGAGGTTGTGGTGGCAGCTGCAGGGGGTGTTGAGTGGTAGTGATATGTCCTCTCAGACCGTTGGTCTGGACTAGGACTAGATAGGGTTAAATAGTGGAATGGGTGGTGGATTTTGAGAGAGGGCTAATAGGTGATAGGGCAATTTTCCTTGTCCCCAAGTTTGTATTATTGTATCAAATAATATAATGTAGGTAGGCCGTGAATGGCCTCACACATCAGTACAGTAGATGGCGGTGTGTGTGCACCTAAAAGTTAGATGTGATCCACCAACCAAATACCAAAGAAGAAGAAGACAAGGAAATTGGTGAAAGTGTGTTCACGCTCAACCTGTCTGCGCTCTTGGTGCGCTAAACACGTCTGGTAGATTTATTAATAGGCCTACAAGTGGCGTGGCGTGTAGTGTAGGCAAATCCAATTAAGCCACAAAAAACATGTATTTATGGATCAGCTCTGGTGATACATAAGTGGATAATGCATTGCAAACGTGTAACGTTAATTGAGGCTATAGATACGGAAGCCTTGCAATGCGTATCCACGTCATACATTGGACAATCTTTTTTGTTGTTGTATTTTACCCCCTTTTCGTGATATCCAATACGTTCAATGGAATGACGTAAGTTATGAGGTTGCGCAGTGCAATACTTCCGTATCTATAGCCTAAATTAAAGTTACAACATATAGCTATCACAATTAGTAATTGCTAGCTAGCTAGTTTAGCACCTATAACGTGTCGTATACGTAAGGTCAAGAAGAAATGGATAAAAGGTATATTTATTTGTACGATTGGTGTTGTGAACTAACCACGTTGGTAGCTAGCTAACCAGTTAAACATATGCTGTTGATAAATAACCTTATAACGTTGGCTACAAAGACGAAGCAAGACCCAAGTTACTGTAGTTAACTTAACATAAGTGTTAGTTAGATCTAGGCTAGCTAACACATTGTTAAAATCATTAGGCCTGCTTTTATCTTTATCTGACACGTAAGTTAGCTACTTGAGCAACTAACGGTAGCTAGCTAGCATTGGCTAACTTCCTTAACTGGCCAGCTGAACTTATCTATAAAACATAACTAGCGTATGTCGAATTCTAAATTGTCAGGAGCTAACTAGCTGAAGTAGCCTAAACGTGGCCAATTATCTAGCTAGCTACTAGTTCATATGGCTGTGAGGAGCCTGACCTTGGTCTGTTAGACAGAGATGGATCATAGCTAACCAAACATTAATCATTAGCTAGCTTGCCAACCCACCCAAGGCACATGCGTTGAGTGTTGTCCCTCCCACGACGTTAGTCCACTCAACAAATGTAGCCTAACTTTCAGTATGTAGCAAGTAGGCCTATCTAGGTAGTGAGGAAGGTCCCTGCTATCTCAAATAAAGTGGATAGGCCTGTACTTCAGAGACCTCTTACCGTTCGTCACCTGCTCTCACAAGTTAGCCTATAACACACACTTCACTGCATCTTTTGTTTTGGCTAGTTTATACGTAGACTACATTGTTGCTTTACACATACTTTTATATATGGATGCAGTCTAGTCGAAGGCATTTCAAGTACAGTAAAGTAACAGTTCCTTAGGCAGAGAAAAAACTAGGCCTATGGAAAATGTGCAATGGGGAGGAACTTATCATCTGGTTGGTTGCTCAGCCTTTCTTTCATATACAGCCAGACTACTGTGTTTATAACCCTGCTAGTCTTGTTCCCAGCCATAACATGCTCTATCAAACTCCACAGGTGCTGGTTGCCAGTTTGTGTCATCTTGTTGATGGAACTCCAAGGTATTAATATCAGTCATACGTTATGTTGTTGTTTGTTCTGATTCTGCATGTGCAAAACGGCATATTGATGTCTGTGTCAGATGGATTCATTGGAGGCTAATTTTGATGTCTGTGTTTTGTAGTCTCTTCACAGGAGAGAGTTGAAGGTTTTACAAGAGGGAAGGTTATTTTACCATGTAGGTACAATGTGATGCCTATTGAAGAGGTCACCATATTTTGGCGATACAAGGATGACCGTAATGTCTACAATATTGTCAGTGGAAAAGCAGACTTGACAGACCAAGACCGTCAGTTCAGAGACAGAACCAGGATGTTCCCTGAGGAATGGGCAAAGGGCAACTTCTCTCTCCTACTGACTGATCTCAAGGACAGCGATAGTGGGAGTTATTCATGTTTCATACAAACAATGAACATTCTTCGTCAAGTGGAACTTTCGGTTCAAGGTTTGCATTACAACCAAGTTTAACATACAATTAATTGAGAATGGTCATGATTCAGCCTTTGCTTATCTATATCTATACAGTATTGAATTTCCATTAACAGTTTTAAGAAGTTGATGATACTGTATGATAACTCTTAAGTAAAATGCATTGTTATTTCTTTTACTGCATTGTTGGTTAAGGGCTTGTAAGTAAGCATTTCACGGTAAGATCTACACCTGTTGTATTCGGCGCATGTGACAAAGAGAATTTGGTTTGATTTGATTTGAAATGTCCCTCTTTATTTTACAGAGAAACCAACTCCTGAGCCTAAAGTTGATCCTAGGAGCAGCAGCATGAGTATCAGAGAGCTGAACCAGAGCCTCTTCCTGTTTCTCCTCCTCAGTCCAACTCTCCACTTCCTTTGACTTACAGCACAGAAATTGGTCTTTGTGCCACTTATGAGACTGTCGACAAGTTCTGAGTGTTTAAACTGCTGAAATACGTATTTATTCTGACATGTATGTAATAGGAGACTGCAAATATACCTCTTGCTAGAACCACCTTTCAAGAGGTGAGGAAAAAGTTTTTCAAATTGCCAAGTAA